TTTTTAAATCACATTAAGTCAATGTAATTTTAAGGTAAAATAAAAAATATTAATCCTATAGCCTACAGAACTGACGTTTACTTCTGGCTTTTCAAAAGTGCATGCCAGTTCTTCTTTACAAAAAGAAGCATTTCAGCTTTGTCACAAGTTAGTCTGTTTCGTTTCTCATCCAACACGTGAGAAGCTGAGCTGAACAAACGTTCACGCTTGTGCAGGGCGCGGACAGGTAACGTTACACTCGCGCAACTTCAGCGAGTGCAGGAAAGCGGCTCTTATTTGTGCGCCAGTACACCAACGGCTGTTCGCTTCTTGGTATCTGTGCCTCAGACAGGTAGCTCTGCATTTCCATCGTGCATCGCCAACAGTGAGCTTGCTCTGCGTGGTATTTTTTCTGCTGGCGCCTCGGTGCACACTTCCGGAAAAATCGGACTAAAAAAATACAAAAAACCGATCGCACATTATAAGCAAAAACCGGCCGGTTCCGATTTATGGCCGGTCAACCGGTGCATCCCTAGTGTTTATATCTGTACTTTCGGTCAAATAAGCTTCATTCACTTTCTTGGTTGCTCAAAAAAACCTTTAAAATCAGGCGCACTTGATCTTCCTGTTAAGAAAATATCACCCACTTCTGTTCTGAAATGCATTTTGTGGCTTGCCACATGCAGTATTTTGCATAGTCTGTTAATGTAATGTAAAGTGTTTTCTCATCACCCTAAAATATTCGTCCAGGTTCAGTAAGTCAAGTTCTTTCCTGAGCATTTGTTGTATAATGTTGATTGATAAAGAAAATGTTCCCCCTCCAAAATGATCACCAAAAATGTTGATAGAGCTTAATTTGTTTTGAACCCGGAAGCTCAGCTGGGACTTTTCTTGAGTGGATCTGATGTATTTCAAAGTACAACGTTTCTCTCCTGCAGATCCGATATGATCCAAAGAGTTGAGCTGGACAGCATTCTTCTCACCTGTCCCGAGATTTCAGGTGAGCAGATGAAGAACCATTGAGTTTTCTCATTTCATTATTTACAAAATATATACAGAAAATATCTAACGGATAAATGTATATCTTCCTATGGCACTGAAAGCATGAGCACATCAAAATTCAGAAACTGACTGTCTGGTTACTGGAGTTACTTTAAGAGCAATCATGTTAGTAAAGTGTTCATTTAGGTATTTTTAGTTAAGTTAGTAGTGATTAATCTGAGATGCTTTGAGACCTTTGGAGATCATATGAACATATGATTGATCATATGAACATGAGTTGAAGCACGTGGCTGTTGTTCTACTGTGCATCACTAGATTCAGAAGACATCAGTGTTAAGAGGCGTGTCCATCAGAAACGGCGGCCGATGAACGTTAGTCCTGTTCCTGCGGGCAAACCGGTTGAGGTGAGACAATACCTCTGCACATTCACTGCCTCTGCATTCAGACGAGTGTAATTCAGAAGTCAAGTGAGGGTTTCTGCGGGTTTAAAAATGTCCTGAAAGTCTTAATTAGGGCCCTAAAAAGTTCTTAAATCAGACTAGAAAGTCTTAAATTAATGGCATTCAGGACAAATGTTGCATGCATTGCAAATCGTCCTCAGTATTTTTGACTTTCTTTTCAAAAAGATACCCAAATGCCTTTTAAATCATGATGCATTTACATCTTGTTACAAGTCTTGTTTTCTTCGAAACGGAACAAAATTAAGTGAGCTTATGCTTGAAACAAGAACAAAATAAATGTCGGGGGGGGGTATGAAAACTTTTTCATGTGAATTAAGTTGATTTTCTGAGCCCACTGGCAAATGTTCTTGCTTTAATCGTAAACTCTCTTTTTTTCATTTTCATAGAAAACATTGTTATTTTGCTTCTTAACTAAATGTATCTTGATTTAAAGAATCAAGTTCTTGATTTAAAGAACCACAGTGGTTCACTGGTTTTTTTCTAAGCTTGATTGTGTTTATGGGGTGCAGTCTAACATGTGTTAATGGTTTGTTTTTAAAAAAGCGCATTATTTTTCACATAATTTACCTTTATTCCACACCACTCTGTCCCTTCTCTGAGAAACGGGCTGATCTTTTCCTTCTTTTATGAAGCCCCTCCCTCAGAAATAGGCTATGGGCTCTGATTGGTTAGCTAGCCTAGTGTGTTGTGATTGGCTCAACCGTCTCTAGTGCGTGTCTAAACGTCATGTTTAACGCTTCTCATAGCTATGAGACTGAAAATAAGTGTATAATTGTAACATTTCATTGTTGGAGCTGAGCTGAATGAGAGAGAGAGATGCAGAGCAGGGGGACGTGAGGGAACAGTATTAAGAACCGCTGCTTTAGAACATTGATTTTGAAACTTGTGAATCCATTAGAATCGTCAGAACACAGAATCCCGATTCATATATGAATAGATTGTTACATGCACCTCTAGTTTTCTCTTCCTCTTCTCTAAAGCAGCACAGCATGGCCTCGCCCCCTTTGCTGCCTTTTCCCGAGGGTGGGGTTTATCTGGGTTTGTGATGTCACGAACCTAGGAAGTAACTTGTTGTAGTCCCTACCAGCCGTTTTTGTAGGCATTAAACCATCACAAATTTAAAAGACAATATCTCTGTTTGCATTGAACTTTCAGCTTCGTAACTTTGCAAATATTGTTTATGCTCAAACATTAACATTACACACTAACTAACGTTAAAAAAGTGAAATCGCAATCAACCACCCCTTTAAGAATATTTAGACATTTGCACTTGGCAACAAGACAAAAATTCTGAAGAACATTGCTTTTTTTGCAGCGTAATCAGAAGACATAGTAAAAGTGATTTGCATATGTAAGCATTTGAGGGAAGAGGTATTCAAGCCTGAAGCTATTTTTTTGTTGTTGTTGTAAAATAAATGAAATTAATGGAGATAAGTTGGAAGTTGTATTTTCAAGTTTTGAAGGGTTGATTATACAACTCATTGTGTGCTCCTGTTTACATTTAGAGAACACATAGACCTTAGTCAGTCATGCGTCATATTGAATTTATTACAGATATGAAAACGAAGTGGTGAGGAATCGACAGAGGTTTTTATTTGTGTTTTTCCCCACTGAAAGCCATTTCCTCAGGTGAACAATCGGTATGTTGTTAAACAACTGTACAGTAATCCATTGAACAACACAATCACAGCCTCGTTTTTATTCCTGTCAGAAATTAAAAACGGTGTTACATTTACATTTAGTCATTTAGCAGACACTTTTATCCAAAGCGACTTACAAATGAGGACAATAAATTGTTTAGTGTTACCCTGACTAAGGTGTATTGATATTGCGTTTCCTTCAATTTATTCCTTACATTTCTTTTACTTGTTCTTAAAAAGGCCTTAGTCTTACATTCACCTTCGTGAAACCTGCAAATGTTCATTTTTGTGTTATATTAAGAGTAAAAGGTGCTTGCATATTTTGTGGGTCTTTCCACATCCAGCAGTCCCTTCAGCCTGATGATTACCTCACAGTTTGTGGTAAATGTGGCCAACCAAGTGAGGACCATGTAAAATGTGACCGCTGTGGATATCTCCTTCCTGCTGAGGCTCTGCCCCTTCCTGCTGTGACATCCGCGCTGCTTCCTCGGCCCTCCATTCGCTCGCAGCCGCCCAGCCTTCAGATAAGAACCTCTGGGGGCTGCTCTCAACAGATAGATGTTGTGATGAGTCCGTCGGTGCGGATCACGCATGGAGGTATGCTGCTTCCTCACAATGGACGACTCGTTGTCACTTCTGGAAGCTCAGTGTGTAATGGATTGAAGCAAGCTGGCGGCAAGAAACGGCAGATCAGCAAACCATGTGAATTAAATGACCCCAGTGAGTACACCACACATCACACTTTTACATCACAAATCACATTATGATACGGATGATCAACATTTGTTGGTTAGGTTTCAGTTAGCCTGCCACTTTAGCAGTACCCTATCATTAACAAGGACCAAAAGGCACAGTAGAAGTAATCCATACACTCACTGGCCACTTTCTGAACACCTTGCAAGCACCAGGTTGTACCCCATTTTGCCTTCAGAACTGCTTTAATTCTTCATGGCATAGATTCAGCAATAGATTCGTCAGAGATTTCATGTTGTTCGTATTGACATGATAGTAGGTCTGTCACTAATGATTATTTTGTTAATCACGTAATCAGTCGATTTATCGAGTAAAATAGTTTTTTGTGGTAATAAAAATAGACCTAAGCGAACCATAGACTTTAACATGGCTTAAAATACATACACTATAGCCAATATAAGTATTGGGACACCTCCTTCTAATGAACAGGTTTGACTACTTTAGTCATTTCCACGAGTACAAGAGAAAGTATAAGCATATAATGATATTCTAGGAAATTGTGTGCTTCTAATTTTATAGCAACAGATTGGACAGGACCCTTTTCTATTCTAACATGACAATGCTTCTGTGTATAAGACCAGGTTCAAAAAGAAATGATTGATTCAGTCAGAGTGGAAGAACTTGACTGGTCTGCAGAAACCCAGCTGAACACCTCTGGTGTGACTTTAAATGCAGAGCTTGAACCAAAAACTCATCACCAAACACCAATGACCTGTACATACACTATATGGACAAAAGTATTGGGACGCCCCCTACTTTTGAACAGAAAGAGGCACTTCCAAAACTGTGGCAACAAAGATGGAAACATGTATTTAAAAATTGTATTTCCGTCTTTGTTGCAGAAGTTTTGGAAGTGTCTAAAATGAGTCATTGGAGTTTGGTGATGAGTTTTTTTGGGGATTAGGACTTTGCTTTCTGCAGACCAGTCAAGTTCTTCCAAGTTCCAATAAGGTGTTTTTTTCTATTTTCTAGTTTTTTTTTTAGTTTAGTGGTTTTAACTTTAAAACAGTGGGCAAGCAGTTGGTTTAGTTTTTGCAAATGTTTTCTCCTTTTTTTTGCACATATGTATAGGATAGACGGTGTTCACTATAGTTGTTTATCAGTTTCTTTCATTGTTTGGGACAACACTGGGCAGGATATATGATTTCATATATTATAAAAATCTGGCTTTTTTTATCTGATTAATTAAGGAAATAACAGATCAATCGAATAATTGTTAGTTGGCTCTAACATTAATGTCCCTCTACAACTCAAATATAATTTGTGCTGCCACATGTGTAACTTTGGACATCATGGAAAGTTATGGGATGTTATGATTATCACTGAATACATACAATAATGTCACTCATAATGTTAAGCATCACAACATCAATTAAAAAGCTTTAAAAAGCATTTTTGATCAGGCTTAACCAAGAGCTGAGGGTTATCAGGGACACCAGTAATCCAGATGTGTGTGTCATTTACGTGTTTTGATGAAATGCAGTTGTGCTGTCCAGCGACGAGGATGAAGAAAGGGATGGTAGCCGCTTGGACAGCGTGTCGCCGCGGCCCGCGGACTCTGCCCACTCATCTCCTGCTCCTTCCGGTGGTCGGGTGGAAGCGGTCGTTAAAGCAGCTGGTGAACATGAGGACACTAGCAGTGACTTTTTCACACAGACAAGCCAGAGAAACCTGGTGCCCAGAAGGAAAAGCATGAGAGATCCAGTAAGCAGTGTTACATCTTAAGTAGTTGTTGTTGGTTTTTTTTGTGTTGTTTGTGACAAATCAGCAGAATTTGCATTAATTTACAATAAATATTTTTTTTTTCTGAAAATCATTTTGGAAGGATGAATGTGTTCACTAGGTCATTTCTTGTATTTAGAGTGTGTACGTATATATTATATTATATCATATGTGACCCTGGAGCACAAAACCAGCCATAAGGTTAAATTTTTTGAAATTGGGATTTATACATCACCTGGAAGCTGGATAAATAATCATTCCATTGATGTATGGTTTGTTAGGATAGGACAATATTTGGCCGAGATACAACTATTTGAAAATAATCTGAGGGTGCAAAAAAATCCAAATATTGAGAAAATCGCCTTTAAAGTTGTCCAAATGAAGTGCTCAACAATGCATATTACTAATCAATAATTAAGATTTGATATAGTTACGGTAGGAAATTTACAAATATCTTCATGGAACATGATCTTTACTTAATATCCTAATGATTTTTGGCATAAAAGAAAAATTTATATTTTTGACCCCCAATGTTTTTTTAGCTATTGCTACAAATATACCCCAGCGACTTAACACTGGTTTTGTGCTCCAGAGTCATATATTATATTATATTATATCATAAACCTGTGATAAACTCTTATATTAATTACATGTGGCAGATAGAATGGGATAAATGTCATGAAAATAAGTTATATGAAACAAATCCTAGTGTAAAAAAAAAAATAGTTTTTTTACTCATTTTAAATCTAGGTACGACCAGGTTGTCTTTACAAGGAGTCTTTTAGGTCACACAAGATTTACACATATGAATATTTATTAAAAGGTGAAGCACCACCATCATGCCTTGCCAAACTAAAATGACTGTGAAGCATATTTTATTGGATTGTACTGTTTTTAATGTAAATAGACAACGGTTTTATTCAGAGGTGCGTCTAACTGATTTATTTAAAAATGTATTTTAGAATTTCTGTCTAGTGTACATCTGAAAAATCTTTTATAACCTTTTGTTAATTGTATACCTTATATTATTCAGAGATCGCCATGAAAATAGCCTTGATGCTGGCATGGCGTTAACAAGTGAATGAATAAATGATATGTCATTTATTATTCTCATGTAGTTTGGGAACACTGTGTGTGAAGATCCATCTCCTAAGAAGAGGAAAATGGGTCAGATGATAAAGCTGAGCAGTATTATTCTGGAGTGCAGGAGCGTAAGGATCGGCACTCTGCGCAGGATGGTCACCAAACCTGTTGTGGTGAGATCAACCAAAAACCTGATTCATATCACCTGCAGGGTCTGGAATTTTTATTTGTTTTTACTTTTTTTTTAATACTAAATTATCTTCTTGCCGTTTAGTGCTGTTAGTTCTTGAACATCTAAATTATTCTTCAAGTTATGCAGCTGATGCGTCCGTCAAAAAGACTCTGTTTGGATGTTGTCTACATGTTCATGATTGTCCAAAAGTGAGATTGCTTGTTATAGTTCACTGGAGGTATGTTCAACCAATAGTGGATTTTACAGATACTGGTAACTAATGGTCCACCGATATATCGCCATGGCCAATATTTGGCATTTTTCAAATATAA